TGCTCATTTTAGCTACACTGCTATTATAGCTTTTACTTAACATTCTGCTCTTTTGACTATTTAAGCTAACATTCAGCACCTTTTAGCATTTACATTCTACTCATTTTAGCTTTTGGCTACCATTAATCTCCTTTTTAGCATTGGCCCATCATTCTGCCCAACTTAGCTTTTAGTTACCATTCTGCTCCTTCTAGCTACCACTCAACTTTTTTAGCTTACAGCTGCCATTTTGCTCTTTTTACCTTTTAGCTACCATATTGCTCATTATATCTTTGAACCTATAATTCTGCTCCTTCTAGGCTACCACTGTATTTAACTCATCATTTTAGCAAACATTCAGCACCATTTTGCATTTACCTGTCATTTTGCTCATTTTAGCTTTTAGCTACCATTTAGGTCCTTTTAGCATTTTTCTATCATTTTGCTCATTTTACATTTTAGCTACCTGCTCATTTTACCATTTGCTTATCATTTCTGCTGCTTTTGCTAATTACCAATCATTCTGCTCATTTTAACGGTTGACTACCATTTAGTTAATTTTATCTTTTACCATTTTTTCTRCTCATTTTAATTTTTAGTTACCGTTCGGCTACATTTAGCTTTTGGCTACCACTCAACTCCTTTTAGCATTTACCTTTCAGTTTGATCCTGTTAGGCTTTAGTTACTATACTGCTCATTTTTGCTGCTATCATTATATTCATTGTAGCTTTTCGTTAGCATTCAGCTCCTTTAGCATTTACGTATCAGTCTGTTCATTTTAACGTCAGCATTCTTTTAGCCTTTAGCTGCCACACAGTTCATTTTAGCTTTTAGCCACATTTCACCCTTTTTACCTTTCTTCTACCATTCAACTCCTTTTAGCATTTACCTGTTAGTCTGCTCCTTTTAGCCTTTTACTATTCTGCTTATTTTGGCTGTTGAATTATTTTTTTCTCACTTCAGTTCTGTTTCATTTAACTTTTAGCCATCATTCTATTCCTTCTGTCTTTTATTTACTTACTATCATACATTTTTAAAAAAAAAACTTTTTTGTCCTATATGATTTAACTATCGTTCTTCTTTTATTTCTTCTTTTTTCTTGTTTTAACTTCAACAACTCTGCTTCAGTTTCTTCAGCAAATTTCTAGAGTCAGCTCACACTCAGAATTCACACAGCATTTATTGGTAAAAATGCAATTTGTTTACATTTATCTGCTTTTTGTAAACAATTTGGGACATGGTAGATGATATAAAGTAGGTTGTAAATCAGCTTAGGCTCCTCTAGTTGCAAAATAAATTGTCTGAAGAAATTGAGGTCATATTTTAATCTCTGTAGAAAAACAAACAAGACAGGTTGCAAAATGTGTACTTAGTGAACTATTATTTTGCATGTTTCAGAAACAGAAAAACAAAGCAAAACTGATATGTTTTCCTATGCATTACTTCAGTAAGCAATTCAAAGTCAATTTTATTCAACTTTTTTTTTTTAAAATCGCACTTTGCATCTTATTTGTGTATTACAATTTCTTATTTATTGTTGTTCTTTCATGCATTCTGACAAATATTTTTTCCCCAGACTAATTCAATGAAAAGATCTTGCAAATCACAGGAAAATTTACACACTAAAGATCAAAAGAAATTAAGTCATGCAAAAATGTTTGATTAGAATTTCTTCTTAAAAAAGTATTTCATTGCTGTACCATGTTGTGTTTATTTTAATTTGACATTTTTTGTTCCCTAAAGTCATCTCTCGTTGTGCATGTTACTGTGTTTAAATCTTCTAAAGCAGGAAACTTACAAAAAGAGAAGCAAAAGAGAAACACTTGTGGAAATATATCATTTTCTATGCAAACAGTCTGCAACAATCAAATGTTTTTTAAAGTGGTATCAAAACACAGAAATGGTGAATTCGACATTTTATAGTTCCCTGATGTTTCTCATACAACTGGGCTTCACTGGAAACAGGAGCATTTGTCCAAACATCAGTCAGGAGGGAAGTGAGCTGCAGTCAAAGGAAGGTGTGTCTGCTTGCTTCTGGCCCCGGAGACAGCCAGGAAAGGTGTTGGTGTTGTCACCGTGGCAACGTCAACAACACGATTCAAACACCGATTAAAATGTGTGCAGAGATTATGCAACCCATGTGCAGGGGAAGTGTGTGTGTGTGTGAGTGTGTGGGTATGAAGGCACAGATGGTTTCTTAAGTCCCTGCAGCTGGATGAAAACCACTTCAACCTGCAGTGACCACCACTCACTCCTGGCAGCCGTTGTAGGCGTGTATTTTATTAGCAGATGTAAGAGTGTGCTTTACAACATCCCTGTGGTGTAACAATAAGCCCGTCTCCGTGTGTGTGAGTCTGAGATGTGTGATTATTGTAAGATAGGAAGATAAGACCTGTCTAATCTGTTTTTGGCATCAACGGATTCAGTCTACTCATTCTCACACTTAAAAATATATAAAAATTTCTGAGAAAAAAACAATTAAATCCACACCTGAGTTCTTCATATTTTGCTTCCAAGAGGCAGGAGTTTGTTACGCATATTTTAAAGAGGTCTTGATCAATCGTTCTCCAGGCTTTTTAAAGGTCTTTACTATTTAAAATGGGTTATTTGATTTGGGTTATTTTATCCTGACTGGGCTTTCCCGAAAGCAGACAGGAAACACAGACAGGACTCCATGCAACC